GGTCCACCTAGGGTTCCGGTGCCTGTGGCTCCCCCTAAGAAAGATAAGTTTGAAGACGATACAATTGTCAAGGTTGAAATTGATGAGTCTCTGTCTTAGCTAGTTGAGCCCAGTCTCTTTGATTTTTATTTATAATTGTAATTTATGTACCTCGAATTGCTTTATTTGATGAGTCTTTGATCAATACTTTTCTTGGTCTTGCTTGGTATTAGTGAATTGAATTAAGCTTTAAACTTCAATTTCCATATGTGTTTATTTTTGTAGTTTGGGAGGACAGTTTCCCAGATATGCTTTGTGTTTCACCTCACTTGTTTATTTAATTGTTTAAAATCTAGATAGGCTATTTTGTTCCTGTCTTGTCTTTTTGGACACAAAACCTTCCTGGAAACACATGGTAGGAAAAACAAATGCTTTCGTATCGCCGGCTTTCAGCATTCTTTATAGTTTATAGGGATTTATTGCCGCCCCTTAGTCCCTTCCGCTGGTGTTTTCCTTCACTATTCTGCTTCTTCTTCATAAACCTGCATCTTGTCTACTCCTTTATGCGCTCCCAATACCCTAGACCTTTATGACTATGATGAATTCATCGGAAATAACCGAAGAGAAGGATGATGATAGCAGTTGCCTTGTTGATCCAGAAGTTCAAAAAGAAAGGATAAGGCGGATTATAGAGTATCAGAAATCTCTTTATCGGTCTTCATCTTCTTCTTCTTCCTCCTCTTCCTCAGCTGCTTCCTGTTCCTCGTTTTCTTCAGCTCGAAAAAGTAGCAGTTTGTTAGGTTTGATGAAAGTAGGAAACACATCGTTGAGGAGATTATTTGACATGGAGCATACAAGTTTGGCGAACCATTTTGAGGATTTCAGTGGCTCATCCATAATTAAGCCTATTCTTCTATGGGGCAGTGATACAGACAATGAAAATGAAATGCATGATCCATGGCAATCCATCAAGCAGTTTGGACCAATAAATGAATCTAGGATTGATGGACCAAGTAAGTTTCCTTCAGATGGAAGCTTCCGGGATGGAGAGCATGGCTTCCGGAATACAGAGGTAAGAATTGGCAACCGCAAGCTGACTAGGAAAAAGTCATTTAGGAGATTGCCAGGATTTGGGTTATGGAGATGCAGAGGATTTAGATTGAGATTAAGGTTGAGGCGGCTTAGGATTGCTTTCTGTGGAAGAAAATATTAGTATTAGTCTGCATACTTGTAATACAGGAAAACCTCATTTGTTTATTTATATCAAAAAAGAAAAAAGGGTTAGCTTCTATTAACATATTGAGATAGGGAATGTCTGCCACAACTCGTTTACAGAATCTCGGATTTACAATGAGATGATGATCTTACTTACACTGGGGCAAAAGATTCAAAATGAAAGTAAAAAAGACAAATTGAACTTTATATGAATGGAAAAAGAGAATGAAAAAAAAAGAGAGAGGGAATTCCATAGCTCTTGAATCGTAGCTAATTCCTGCAACAGAGTATACTAACAAATAGGAGGCTTGTATCAATTTCCAGTCTGCGGCTTCGTCACTGTTGGTTGGTTGAAGATGCTTCACCATTTATTCGTTTGAGAAAATTCTTTCAGAACTGTATATGTCACTGCAAATGACACAATGATCGGAGATTAATCTCTGCATAATGCTTCCTTCTTCGATCGCGACTCGGCTACTTTGCTTGTTCCACAAGTGTACCCCATAAGTCTCCCTGCTGAGCTGAAGCAGCTTTGCTTTTACCCATCGAGAATGAGCTTGGCTTCCTGGCTTCTTAAACAGTCCCCCAATCCTATTCCAATCGACCGGGTAAAGGGCGATAGGGGGTAGAATTGTAAAGTTGTAACCTGGTCGGTTTTGCACCCTCTGGACCACTCTGGACACCAGGTACGGACCATTGTGCCCCCATTTATTCCCATCAAAAGTCAAGGCAAATTCCTCCAAGAATTTGTACAGAAGGGGATGATTCATATCAAACACCAGAACTGCATTATTTAGCCTGGTCCAGTTTTTAGATGCCACATCCACACTTTGTGCACCGATTGAGTTTCTCAACCCCAAGAATGAATTCAAAACTATGAAATCTGTGTCTAAGTAAACACCTCCATACTTGTATAGAATTGCAAGCCTCATCAAATTAGACAGATTCTGGGCTAATGGGATCTCACCAGGGTCTTTTTTGCCTCCCTTCATTTCAGCAAACCAGGCTTCAGCTGGGGTGTTCTTGAACAGAAATGATAAGTCTGGTGTCACTGCATGAACCTTGAACCCGCGATCCTGCAGCGGTTTCAGAATTCTGTAACCACGTCGGGAGTCCATAGTTCTCGAGAGAATCATCAAGCACCCATGAGGGTGAGCTCTGAAAAGACTCTCCATGGACAAAAACTCTCTGCTTCCAAAGGACCTCACAGGCGAAATCCATGTCATAAAGAACTGCCCCTCACACTTGTTGTTAAAGAATTCCAGAACACGACCGTGGAATTGCCTTGCAAACTTGTCTGATTTGAAAATCTCAAATTCGGGTAGCTTGCTCCGAAACCAAGCGATTCTTTCCTCTTCTGTGGCATTGAAAGGAGGAACAAGAGGACTTGTAATTTCTCTACCAACCTCAAGGGTCTCTTCCTGCATGGAACGCAGAGCTATGCGATTTATATCAGACTTGATCAAATGGCCTGCAGAACTATGAGTCTGCAGCAGGACTGGAGAAGGAGCTTTATCATTCAACTCAACCGATTTTTCAGAGTCATTGTAGATGATGCTATCGGCATAGAAGATGAAGATGATTGCAGCCAATGATAGAGTACAGAAGATATGAAATTTAGCAAGGCTAAGTAGGCGGCTGTCCATTCGGCTCATCGTCATCAGAGGAGTTGCATGGGAGAAGAAATAAGGTTGAAGAAATATAGCTCAAAAGGTACTTTCATGGCGAAATGACCAAAGTACTTAACGATACACACGCGAATACAAAGAATTGTTGCAGGCTTCTATAGTGTAATGTTTATTCTCTAGACGTCTGGCTTTGAAGCATTCAATATGAGACTTTTTGGTAAGAGTCAAATGCTGAATAAAAATAAAATAAAATACAAAGAAGATAGCCGCCTGTAAAAATGCGTGAGCATTGTGTGGGATATCAATTTATAAATGAATAATTAAGAGGGTCCATTAGAGTATCAATAATGAAAATATGGTGATGGAAAGATGTTTTACAATAATCTTATTTAATGATTAGGCAATTACCCTTTTGACAGATATTGCTTTCTTTTTCAATGACTTCAAAAGATAGAAAGATACCAGGCTATTTCCTGGCCAACCAAACCCATACTTACGCATTAAATTGGAATCTCATCAAACCCAGAACGCCATACCTTTGTTTTTGGGGCAGCAGAAGACCATTCATTGAGACTTTTTTGGCAATATTTCTGGAAATTTTGAAGCCTTAATCCGCCCTATTCGTTCGAAATTGGAGTTGGATCCTTGAGACTTAATTGTTTAACTGGTGACCAAAAATATTGGATTAGTAACAACTTGGCCATGTTCTTGGTACATTTTTTTTCCTCCTTAAACGTCATCTTTGCTGTGGACCTAAGGAGGAGGGGTATATTGCATAAGGCCATCCCCAATGGGGGCTCTAAAATGGGCTGCACCACCTTTGGGCTCTAATAAATAGCAACTCTTTGAAAAAAACCATCCCCAATGGTATAACTTTGAGGCTCTAAATGGTAGAGCCTAACCGGAGCTGAAGCTAAATCTGTGTACTCGGTTGCAGCCCCTGAAACCCGGTGGGGACCACATTTGGAAAAAAGAACCTACCTTTCTCCACTGGGGTGCAAAATTATTTATTCCAAGCAGACAGAGCTGGTTGTTCTGCTACTTACAGACATTAACCTTTTCTTCAACAACAATCAAAACTATCGAATCCGTTTTGAAATATGTGATGAGAATGTTGGAAATCTTTTTTTTAACCTGGTAATTGGTGTTTCGATTATTAGGTATATGATTTATCTTGATTTAGTGATATTTCTCTATCAATATTGAACAAAGTCGAATATTCAAATTTTCCTTCCCATCTACTCATTTAAAATTAAAATAATAATAATAATAAAGGATCCACTAATGTAGTAGTTTAGAGTAATTGCTTCTTTAGGAAAGGTTCTGGTTCGAGTCCTAGCATCCGTGCAATGTTAGTATGTCATGTTCCCTCTCAATAGGAAGAATCCTAAAATAATGAAAACTATTTTCTTACTATCTTTTTTTTTCTTCTATATTATTTACGATTGGAACATGGAATAAAATAATTCAGATATTAATTATAATAGTAGCGTACTCTCTAAGTTTTTGTATACTGCCAACTGATGAAAAAACTAAACAGATTTGAACGGTGAGGTCCATGCCATGCAACTTGCAAGAGACTTTTTTCTGTTTTTACAAGTATTTTTATTCATGGACCGACGCATTTGGGATTAAGGTAATCCTTATGCAATTATTCCACCATCACTTGGCTGATTCACGTTATTCAATCTTAATATTTTTATGGTAGTTGAAATGTCTCTGTTAACCCTAAACCCCTTTTTCTTTTATTCAAATACATTAAGATAAGGCGTGAACTCAATCGTGTTAAGATATTGTATTTCTTTTTAATTAGTGATCAAGTTGTCTTAACAATTTCTTGTGAGTAGAAGGCCCAAAAACAACACACAAAAAGGAAACCTGCCTGGTTCAGAAATATTCCAAGGTTGCTTTGTGACATGAAGAAGTGATGTAGTCTATGAATTTTTTATTTTTTTATTTAATAAGTGACAGTCTAAACTACAAGACACTATCAACGTGCCATGACTCCATGAGGTTCGAATACGACCACCAATCTAAAATTAATGCTCTTTTTTAACTAGGTTAGACCCCGATAGATGTTACCTATGAATTCTTATTATTAGCAGTGAGCATCAATTTCTTAATAGTAGGTGGAGAGATTCAAAATCTTTCATCTTTGAATGTAAAATACTCTCAAAATATAAGTAAAGTCTATTCATATATTTTTTTCTTTTGGTCAAAGTTTATATATGGCCATCCAAGTAGAATCACAATTAGATGACTTATCCCTCATAACCATTCTAGAAGCTAGATAGATTTATGGGTTTTAATTGATTTATCACACAAACGAGTCGAGGGGATCATCAAAGTCATTAACCCAAAAGTCTAAAAGTACATCGGTTTTGCGTACAACACATGATCACTAATAATTA